GGGGGGGGGGGGGGGGGGGGAGGAGAGTGACGCACGGCAGACCTTTGAAAGGAGAGGAATGCTTAGTGAGACTTTAAATGTTGTAGATGATATTCGAAAAACAAGCTTTGTGGCTCTTGTAATATGGTTGTCAGCCTTCCCTGGAGCACAAACTAAATCCATTCATTAACATGAAATGAATATCCTTTAATAATTACAAATAAATGTATCTATGTTTGCTACTTTGCATTTAACTTGTGAAGAAACAGTACTACAGCCAGATAAATGACAGTGTTTACAAGAAGCTTACCTAAATCACCAGGATTTCAAGAGAAATACAGACTTGTTTTTTTTGTTTAACGTACATTTATATTTTGTTGAAGTATCAGGAAATTAGTGTTGAGGTTGGGTCTAAGAATTCCAAACAGTAACACTTATAGAAAGTATAGAAGAAAAGTGAAAGAGGACACAGATAACTCCTGTTAAGCTGAAACACAATTAAAGGGGGCCTATTGTGCCTTTAGGGGTTTTCCCTTTCCTGTAGTGTGTTCTATAGGTTTGTGTGCATGTAAATGGTCTGCAAAGGCTAAAATCCCTGTGTTCCCTCCAGAGGGAGTTTCTCTCCCACACAGTCCCCCCTCTGCCTGAAACACCTTGATAGGACTCCTTTGTTTTCATCCGCAATACATAGTAACATCACTTTGTTACACTCGCCCTACTATAGAGAACCGCAGAAACGCGTCCTAAAACCCGGAAGTAAACTCCTTCCGGTTCCTTCGTCAAAAACGCAATGCAATTTCTCCATAGGATTTTGGAAAATAGCTCGAAATAAGGTCTGTGGTTGACACACATTTAAGAGACGGATCACGTTTTGTTCAGCCGGAAAATATCCACATGTCTACCATACTTTTATAATTTTCGAATCATAAATCTAGTCGCCAGAAGCAAAATGCTAACGTTATGCTATAAACGAACTACAGCAGGGTCGCTGCTTCAACGTCACGCCAATTTAAGATCCATATTCAAACATACAGATTCTAAATGGTACAAGTTGAAGTGTTTGTTTGAACAGTTTGCAGGAGGCAGGTACTTGCTTTCAAGCAGAACAGGGCAAACAAACTTAGCGGGAGTGTTTTACGTGTTCGGTGTAATGACGTAAAACGGCCTGGACAACTTCTGTAGTCCTATTCAGCCACATGTTAACAACCATCGTTTTTCAGACTCGTAAACTCTTCAAAAATCACCAGCGGGGTCACTGCTGATGTATTTAATGTCGTAGAATAAAACGTGATCTGTCTCTTCAATTTGTGTCAAACACAGACCTTATTTCGAGCTATTTTCCAAAATCCTATGGAGAAATTGCATTGCTTTTTGTCGAAGGAACCGGACGTGGTAAAAATGTTAACTTACTTCCGGGTTTTAGGACGCATCACTGCGGTTCTCTATTGGCTACACACATTGTATGTGATAGGCTAAGGGGTTGGACATCTCTAAGCGGTTGAAAAATCACACCAGAGCTAACCAATAAGAGCTTTTTTAACATTAAATGTCACATTAGAAAAGGCATAACAGGGCCCCTTTAACCTGTTAAGCCCTGAGCCTTTTTTTCAGGTCTCAGGCTCGAAAATGACATTCCCAGAACAAATTACTATAACTTCACTTCTAAAAGGGATACATTAATAATCTTTTTTCTCAAAGCAATGATAAACCTGTGAGTTGGATGTAGAAAAGTTAAAATCAATATATCATTTTTTTATTTTAAAGTAAATTCAGATTGAACATAGAAAAACATTTTAAACTAGAGAATGCAATTCCTGAAGAAATTGCTAGTGGGAATGCTTTATGCTGAAAAGCTGACGCTAAACTGCTATGCTGAAATGTAATGTGTAAGAAGAAAGTGAATCATTTAGATTGAAATGATACATGAACACTGGGGGCTTGAATGTGTGATGAGAGAAGAAAAGAAAGTAAAAAGGCTTGGAAAAGCAGCAGAATATTTGAACCGCAAACTTTTGAACTAACTTGATGGCGAATGATCTGTCGCCATGCCAACGGCATTTGATGACATCCCTTAATACGCTTAGATGCGTTGATGGCTGCATTACACAGGTGTTTATAGTTGAGCTAACGAGCTCTGAAGAGATCAAAGGTTTGCATTGTTCTGAATGAGAGATAAACCTCTTACATGTGAACGTTTTGTGGAAGAACGATAACAGATATCTGTGAAATTTCAAAACGTGAAGCATGTCAAGGAAGTTGAGTATCTGAAGTGTAATTTTTGTGTACTTTCGGGTTAATAATGTGGCCTTTTTGGCAGTTTAACTAAAGGTGTGCGGCTGCTGCTGTGAGGAAATATCAGCCTGAAATTACAATGGGTTTTAATGAAGACATGTTGAACGTTTTTGTCACTTCATGCCCTCAAGAGGCATTTTGTTGAATTATTTTGCTTAATTATTTGTCATTTTTCAAGCTACGAGATGTTTTCCTAAGTTTGTCATGAAAAATGATGTCTGGGAATTATGGCAGTTTTAAAATAATATATGAAGGCAAATTTCAAGATTTGCTCCACTCTACAGTAGCTGTGACATCACGCACATAATGTTAAAATCTGAAGAAAACCTCTTTAAAAAAGTCTGAACAATGTTTAATATCTCTAAAAGTAAGAATCAGATTTAAAAGTTGTGTTACACGAATAATGTCAGAAAGATGTGTAACATTTTAAAGTTGGAATGAGGTTTCTGAGTGAAAGTATGAATGAACAGTTAGCAGTTGAAGTCGCATGAAGATTTGTTGAAGTCTGAAGAATATCTCCATTGACTTCAATGGTTAAAAATTTGATGAATTATGGGATGTATCTCTGGAATTATGAAAGTTATGATTGAGAAAAGTACTAGCCTGCGATTCCCGACCGAGCTGAACGTTTTGATGTTTGAACGGAGTGTCTGCGATGTTGAATGTGGGAGGAGAAGAGGGCCAAAATAAGTCGGCGGAATAATAATAATAAACTTTTTGTCCGTAGCATAACATATAGTTGGAATGCTGTATCAGCATTCCCACTAAATTATAGTGTCTGTCCAAAAGAAAAACATTACTTATAGTGAAAACCACCCTTGAATGATGGGATAGTAGACTAAAAGCTTTAGGAATCCAAACATATAATAAGTACCCTGTATCAAGATTGATGCAAAACAAGTGAAATTTGACCTTTTTAGAGAGATTTAGAAAGAAAAAACCCACTTCTGGGGTCATTTTCCATATCTCTGGAACCCATCAGTCGATTTTGATGATTGCCATCTCTTTTTAACCCTTAGAGCCAATAGAATCGAGTGACACAGACACATTGGATTAACCTATGGATTAACCTTCAGCAGCGTTTTTATCGTTTTAATGCTATTGAATTATTTTTGCTTAAATTATGTATAATGATGTAGTCTCAGTACACTTCTGCAATTTATAAAAAGTTGTCAACGGGGGGGGGGGGGGGGGGTGTGACAGTGGAGTACAGCGCTTCACAATTGTCAACGGGGGGGGGTGGGGGGTGGTAGTGGAGTACAGAGCTTCGTGACCGCAGAGCGTGTGAACGTTGTGATCAGCTGTTTTAGCGCAGGGCTGCTGTACAGGCCGACGTTAACAGCAGCCCTGTCTGTGCACATGGAGACCGACTCTGTCGTCCGGTGATCTAACCGCCTTCTGGAAAAGCTTCACAAGTACGTCGGTACGCAAATGCGCTTTGTGACACAAGTGACGGTGCGCATTTCAGATTGTTCAAATGTGACTCAAATTAGCTCACTTAAAGTGCACCTATCATGCCATTTTTAGGGCAATAGCATAGGTCTCAGATATATAGAAATATATAAAAACATGTCTATGAAGTGTTTTGCTCAAAATACCAAACAGATCACCCATTCTAGCCATGCCTCATATCCCTCTATTTCACTTCCTGTTTCAAAAGTGCTGATTTTGGGTATAATGCTTTGATAAAATAAAACATTGATACAAAATAAAAAAGGAGGGGGCTGAGCTCATGCGGGACCTGGCAGCTACTGTCTAAACTAAATACTGCCGTGATGAAACGCCATATCATGGATTATCAAGGATTATTTCTGAAACAGTATGGAGCTCAAAGGCTTTCTCTCTTGCCGGTTATACCACTACTTTTTATTTCCTGCTTCTTCACACACATGCTCTCCAGTAGAAGAAGAAGAAGAAGAAGAAGAAACACTTTATTAATCCCTTACAGGGACATTTCTTTCCCCACTCTGTTGTGTTTACACACATTACACACACAGGGGAGGATATACATGCACAAACACAGAGGATATACATGCACACACACAACCACATGCAGATAGGAGAGGTGGCAGAGCAGAGAGGCTGCCAGGTACCCGGCGCCAAGGGAGCAGTTTCAAGGTTAGGTGCCTTGCTCAAGGGCCCCTCGGCAGTGGCCTTGGAGGTGAACTGGCACCTCTCCAGCTACCAGCTCACATTTTTTTGGTCCGATCGGGACGTCAACCGGCGACCCTTCGGTTCCAAGACCAAGTCCCTACAGACTGAGCCACTGCCGCCCCAAGTACAGGTTAGCTCTGAGTGTTAGCGATGCTAATGTAAACACCGACCATCTTACGTCCAAAACACTTTCACTATCAGAAAGTTGCTATCAGAAACACTGCCCGACGGCAGTGTTTCTGATAGCAACTTTCTGATAGTGCTGTGGGTCCACATTTCCGATATTACGTCATATCGGACGCAAATCTGGATCAGCTCCGTTGTACTCCCCGTTTTTAGAGATTTGGGTACGGAGGAAAAGAGAGAGGGATTTATTTTATGACCGGGGACACATATTTATGTATAAAAGACATCAAAAAGTGCATTTTGCATGATAGTTCCCCTTTAAGTTCAAACAGTAGTATTCAAGCCTTGACTAATTGTTTAATTGTTTCCAATGGTTCTCCAACAGAAGGCTAATGCTTCATTTGGAACATAATTGCCGTCATGCTCACAAGTTGCTCTCCATTTTGCAGGTAATGAGCCGTCGCCGCTGGGCACAGTGGAGAGCTACAACCCTGTGAAGCGGCGCTGGGAGTATGTGGCGCCGATGCCGACCGCACGCTGCTCCTCCGCCCTCCTGCAGACACCCAGCATGATGTTCGTCATCGGCGGAGTCTCCCAGGGACCCAGTAATGCAGTGGAAGCCCTCTGCTTACCGGAAACAGTGTGACACTAGCGCTCATGCTAACACACGCAGGAACACATCATTTTTATTCATGTTTGTGCAACGGAAACACATGAATTGGATCCAAAACATCGGACTAAGATACATTTCTACCCTTATGTCAAACTGATGGATTCCTCTTGTAGACTGGGAGGCAAGTTTTTGATATTTAACAAGCATTTTGAGACAGATTGTGCTAGACGATGAATTCAAGATGAAGGACGTTCAGGCCGGCTGCTATAACTGCCAGGGACAGAAAACTGACAGCTTTTCTACATTGGCTAAAAGCAGAGGAAGAACAAAAAAAAAACGACACACACATATGGTGTATGGAGAAACAACACGCCTTTGAACTGTTAAGCATTTTTCTGAATTAAAGCAGGGTACTTTTCTGGATATTTAAGGAAGATAGGGCCATATCTGTATGTATTTGCTCCCCTGCTGCTGTGACAGCCAGATCGGACACTTTTCTATGACTTAAGACACAACAGTTGCATTTTAGAAGTTGGTGTTCTGCGAAAGTAAACGTCTTTTCTTTTTGTTGCAGTGTTTTATATGTGTGGAAGTTGGCACTGCTTGCAACAACATCAACAACAGCGGCCCCTAGATGCGTTCAGATCGCCGTTTTTGAGAACCAGTGATGCGTTGGCAGACTTTGACTACAGTCTTTGCGTTTCTTTTATTTTCAAGTTTGCAGTTAAGCTGACTGTGGTTGATCTTTTCAGCATCTGGCTCTGCACCCCATCTGTCCACCTCTGCTACAACATTAGTAATCAATCCCAATCCATCACCAAGGCTCAAACAGTCCTTCACACTGTAGCACAAGGATGCAGCTGCACGTGAAGGGAATGCAGAGTTAAACCTGCCGCACTGAAGCATCCACACAGATAAATAATAGCCTCAACATCCAGACATCTTATATTCCCCCTAAGTTTTATGATGGATAGTGGTACAATAGATTATTTTACTCAACTTGATATCAGCCACACAATGAGGAATCATTTTGAAGAGCTGATGATACCTTGGCAACATCTTTGAAGCAATGTGTCACTCTAGGTTTTAGCAAGCAGGATATTTAAAAAAAAAAAAAAAAAAGGTAAAAAGTCTCATGGCATGGATTTTTGTGATTTTGGGTTAGGGAGTATAGAACTGTTTTGGTCTGACCCTACTGTTGTGTTGGCCATCATGATCATTGTTCCCGCATATTTACATAACCAATGTTGATAGTTTCTTGAGGATAGTCAACACATTTAGGTTAAAATTATTCTGAAAGGTTTGAAGCTTTCTCAAGAAGCGACCTGTGATTAAGAAAGACATGTACACATACCCAAAGAAACTTCTTCTGTACAGTCCCATGTATTCAACAAATATTTCTGTCAAAGAACAGCAGTATAGTGCCTTCTCTCAAGAAGAATCTAATCAGATTTTTTAAATGAGCCATACTTCTAGACTAATCCCTTCTCAGGACATGGTTTCGACATTCATGTTATGGAAATGTGGGAAAATGTATCATGTTATAGCTAAATTAGTGATCATGATATTGCAGAAAAGTACATTTTTTTACAACAAGAAATATTTCTTGTTGATGCGATAAGTTTGTTGTAATGTCTTGAAAATATCTTGTTATATCGTGATAATCATCTTGTTAGGGTTGGGGTTAAACATGATACAGGTCAGTTTTCTTTTTTCTGGCATGGCAGCAATATGCTTCTTTAACCTACAAATGAATGGCAAATAAGTATGTTGTGGGACTGCTTAGAGAAGTCTCTTTGGTTGTGTTAACACATGATGTGCCATAACTGGGTTGACATTGGAATCCACTGTAACTGCTGTGAATCGAAGTTGACTACAGCTGCTACAAACCTTTCGGAGCCTCAGTCCAACAGTGAGTGAGCAACTGATACCCAAAAGACAGACTTTTGTGAAGAATTCTGTTGTTTGGGCTGAGGCGAGGATCTGTGTACAACAGTTAGAGATGAAAGATGATGGCCTGAGCTGCAGTGCAGTATTCTTTCTGAACGATTCAGTGAGTTGTCGACAGCAGACGCGGTGGGGCGGGAAACAAAGGAATTACCCAGTGGACTGTGTTACCGTGTGGCAAGCAGCCTCTGTTTGTCTTTCTTATGCTGCCATACAAGTAGCATTATCCAATTTCGCTTGAAGAGACACTGTTCAGTTCCTCCATTCAGAACGTTAGGGTTAGGCTTAGCGTTTAGTCGTTGAAATAAATGACCCTAAGACTTAGTAAAGGTTCCATTTCAACCAAAGTGTTTGAAGCACTTGGTTGTTTTTGTTAATATTTGTATCTTTGGGCAATGGTTTTACCAGCTTCATTGCCCTTTTACTCCTTATTGCTGACTGGAAATTATTTTTGCTATGTCATGTATATATTTATTTGCCAATTTATTTGATGACCTAGTCATTAAAGGTAGGGTGTGCTTCAACATGATTTATGATAGTTACATTTATAATAAGAAAGATAAAACAAAACGAAAACCACATTGGATAGAGAGATAGGACTGGACAATGGTCTATTTTGCCACTCTAACACACACACTAAGCTCCGGTACAGTACAGTCCTGCAGCAAAATTGCAGGGTCCATCATTTAAAGATGACATTCGTTGGCTTAATCCAAACCATTTAAAATGACTGAATGAATGTCACAGATGCATGAGATTCCATGAATCCCCAGAAGGGACATATGGAGGAAAGACAGTTGAAGGTTTAAGAAAAATACACATAGTTTCTCACACACAAATATGTTTGTGGTGCGCACCCTGGCAGAACTTGTTACAGGAGTCAGACATGTAATACTGTGGAGAGTGCTGGAGCTGCCGGAGCTCAGATGAGATGCCAGTTGACAGTTGGTTATTTCTGGTGCGGCATTGTTTGTATTTAGTGTGTGAGGTAGAATCCACTCACATATGCCAGGCACATACCTGCAAGCCTGAGTGCAAGACTGCTGTCACCTTCTCCCACGGTTCCTTTTGGCAACACTCATAAAAGCTTGGAGAACACAAAGATAATTGTGTCTGTAAACAGCTCTGCTGGTTGGGAGCTGTGGCCCCCTTCCAACCATGAGCCTACTTGAATTAACTGCAGTTTGCTAGAGTATGTGTGAGAGGGTAATTGTATTTGTTGTCCTGGATGGGTCTCATGCAATTTATTTGCATATAAATTGCTCATGAAGAGTGTATTTCTAAAAAGTTATACAAAAAGAAGGATTTGGCTTTGTTTTCCGGGATTCTTTAGTTGCCTTAATGGAGCCACAGAGGAATTTATTATGTTTTTGAATATTAAAAGGAGAAAATTAACAAGGCTGAGTTGAAGCAACAAGGTTGTTAGCTAATAGTTCCTTTTTCACAAACAATACAGAGCCGGACAACTCTCTTTTACAGTAGTGTTCCTGTTCCCCTGAAGAATGTAAGGCTACTATCTCCTTTAACTCTTTGATTTCCACTAAATCCTGAGTGAAATATCTTGCTTTTTAGCTGCTAAATGCTCACTGTGTCTTTCTATGAAACAACATGAGAGAGAGTGAATGCTGTAAGACTCAAATGTGCTCTGTAGAGTTGAGGAGGACTGCAGAGTTTGGTGAAAAACATTTGTAAGTGCTATTTTGATCTCTTTTGATCAAAACCATGTTAGTTGATTTGTATTGTCCGTTGCTCTAAGCTGAAAACACAACATCTGACATATAATAATTTTATGTGTGCAGCTGTGCTTCTGTGTCTACATTGTATTTGTGTGATTGTGACCGTATGTGAGGGCTTTGTTTTCATGCGTGTGTGTGGGTGCGCTTTCTTGTCACCCAGCCACACTCACCATCTATTATTGTGCGAGCTGTCTGGAGGATGTAAAATGTCTACTTCCCAGTCCTTCTGTTTCTCTTGCTCTTCTAAACAGTTTACATGCCACACTGCAGTCCCCGAGGAATTCTGGAACAGTGCCAGAGTGAGCTCTCTCTGTGGGTGTCTGTTTTTACTTTTCTCTCTCACTCCCTCTCTGACCCTGTCGGATTGTTTTCCAGAGAAGATGCTTCATAAATGTTCAAGTTCTCTTTCAATAGAGAAGATTTCTCATGAATCAGATTTTCTGGGTACTAATGTGACATGTGCTGTTTCACTCATTTGGAGTGAAATCTCTCTTCAAATTCAGATAGAACGTTTTGGAACAAAAGAGAGGATGCTTCAATACAGGCTGTACCTTGAGCCAGTAGCAAATGATGCACAGGCATAAGGAAATGCACTCTTACATGTAGGGTGACCAGGTGTCGTACACAGCATTTTTATAATTGGTCCCGCAAAATTAGGAGATGTCCTGCGTTTGATTGACAGTTGCCCTTTTTAATACTCTATTACTTCTAATACTACATCTAAGGCTTTTATCCAATGGCTGTTTAGAAAGCAAGAACTGGCTATCTCCATTAGCTGCGTCAGATGTCAATCAATTAACATAGTCTGGCCAATGTTTACTTACTGAATGGGTGTATCCAGTGGAGGGCGATTCCCGGAGAGCTTTCTGAGAGATTTGCCAGATTTTTTTTTCTTTTTCGTGCATTGCGGTCAATACGATTTGAAGGGACGACCACAAAAAATGCCAGGCTCATGAACTGAAAACAAATGATGATAATGAACATGTACCACACTGTGCAGCAATTCTATCCTAAAGGTCAGCTGACTGTGGGAGTAAGCTATCACTTTCAGACTCAAAGGTGCAAAAAAATAATGTGGACGATTGTTTGTTGGAAAAATTACTTGCATAGTTTGTGCAAAGAAATCAATCCATAGCAAAGCATTGTTATTAATATTTATAAGTTGATAGTTTCAATACAAATTAAAAAATTGTAGGGTTATATTGAAATCTCTTAGCTTTGCTGTAACTTCTCCCACATTGTCCCACACCAACATATTCTTTGTCCCACATCTGGCTTTGTTGACAACTGGTCACCCTACTTACTTTCCACGACCAGAGCATTAATATGGTTCTGATTAGCACAGGTTTGAGGGTGATTTTTCATACAGAAAAATCTGCAGAACCTGAGGCACAGGGCAAATTAGAAAGTTATAAGTGCCCTAAAATTGTTTCACAGATTTGTAATACCCCGCAGTATCTGGTTGTCAACAAATCACAAGACTCATTCTCAGGCACATCTTTATTATCTGGAGTTTACAGACATGATTTGCATTGCTTCGAATAGTTGCCTTGTGTATCATTTACTTTTCAAATATTTCCAGATTACAGTACACCCTTATTTCCAAGATACATTCAGTGCCCTATTGTATTGTAGGCACACTGTGCATGGCATGCTCTGTGCCTTAATTCACAAAAATAAAAAGGCCCAAAGGCTCAGGTTCGGAAACAAAAGCGGAGGTGCGTTCCATACAGTGCAAAGATGGGGGCGGAAGATGCTGAATTCACACTGTTTTCAGTTTTATGAATCCAACGCAGAACTGTGTATCATATTCGACAATGAAAAGCCTCTCCAGTTTTTTTCTTTTTTTGTGCGGGCCAATTTAACACAGTTTCCTGGGCAACAGGGAACGGTGTCAACACCCGCAGGTAGCATAATTGTGTTCCTCTCACATTAGCATATGTGTTCTTGTTTTTGTTCCTATTTTTTGGACCTGTAGATGGAAAGAAATATCAAACATCCCCTTTTTTATTATTCATTAATTAACCAGGATTAAATATATTTGTGTTTTTTGTGTCAATTGTTCATGTTATTACATTCATTTTACTCTTGTGTTGTGGATTGAGATCGTGAGGTGACAAAAAATGTTGTGGTGTTGACCACATTTTAACTGGGTTCCCCAAATTGTTTGTCACTAGTTATGTTTAGTATACAGTGGTGCAGGAATGGGTCCTAAACCCCGGGAATGAGTCAGCATTTTAGCATTCTATGTATTTCTATTTGAGAATTACACAGATAAATCTTTTTTTTTCTTTAACCATATTGCTCAGAAGACATGCATACATGCAGTTTGTGTAACACTGGAGATTATGTACATGTAGTACCGCTATCTAATTGTTCTGAAGTAGAAATGTAAGGTGGCCAACAGGTGTAAGCGCAATACAAGGGCCTAGAACATTGACAAATATAAAAATACAAATGTGCCATAACACATGCAAATGAAGAAACATCTTCAACTTGACGAAATATAAAGATGATCATAAAATCGTAAGGAATCATACAATAACATTGTTAAAATAGGCCGATAAAACGCTTCCAACAACAGTGACAGTTGGCCAACTTATCATCCCCGAATGTCAACAAGTGCTGCAGCGTTTGATATTTGCAGCGTTCTGTTCATGCAGCAATTTTAGTAAATGCTGCACAATTTTCCTCTAATTGGAGAAGATGTTTCTTCATTTGCATGTGTTTTGATACATTTGTGTTTTTATATTTGCATGGTTTCTGAAGCTGCATCAAATTTTTCCTGGGCTATAGCGCGTTTGTACCTGTCGACCACCGTAGAAATGCCAAGGAATGATTATACTTTAACACCCAAATAGTCATCAGCAAACAAAATAGAATACAGCAAATTTCAAAACAGATTGATGATATTTTGTATTCTGTATTATTCTCTGTTCTAATTCTGTGATTGAATCAAGATTGTTCAAATATTTACTTTTGCAGAACCCTGTGCAAATCGAGGACCTCCAGCTTTAAATACTGGTTGTCCTTTTAACTCAAAAGTGAAACTAGTGTGTACAGACATTTTGGGAAACAGAATCCCTCTCCTGTGCTGATCCCTCTCCCTGTACTGTGATTGACATGGTCGAACAATGGTGGTAAAAAAGCTTTGTGGTCTCCATGGATCAGTAATGCCATGTGCTCTGTTTTTGCAAAATGTGATTTGGAAGGTTTAGTAATAAAATGTAGTGAAGGTGATAAGAAAGAAGGTTGGACTCAACTCGCTCAGATGGCGTGTGTGGGGAGGTGTAAGGCAGTGTGTGTGGAAAAAGTTATATAATATATTCTTGTTTTGGTTATATTGCGTTACACAGGTTCTGGAAACACATGCTTGTAGTCTAACAGACTCACCCACACACAGTCACTTCTGCCATTTCAAACTATGCAGATAAAGCAAATCAAGCTCATCCATCACTGAGTTCACCCAAAGTGACAATAACCCAGTATGACCCCAGTTTAACAGTGCTGAAAACATTTATATAAAAAAAAGATATATAGCTATAGTATATATAACAGAAACAGTTTTACAAACTGGTATATTTTGTATGGCAATTACATCAGTTTGAGTGGTTTTGAATATTGGTAAAACTCACATTTAAAGGGAGACTCCCCCAATGAATGATGATGGTGTCATCATGCTGCTGTGGTTTGGGATTAAGAAATATAATTTCCATTTTAACGTTTGTTAACCTAAGGATATTCAACTTTATCGAGGTGCAATACTACATTGCTGACACATGTATTACTTAATCAAACAGAAATGTATTACACATTACCACTACCTCTGAAACATGATTTTATGTGATAACAAGACCATTTTTAATTTGGAAGTCCATGGAACACAAATACAAGACATTTTTTATTTTTAGCTTAGCATAAAGACTGAAAGCAGAGGAAACTTTGTAGACTAACAGAAATGTTAGCCAAAATCTTGGTAATGTGAAGTACTTATTCTGCGCCACAAATGCACAAAATCATTACAATCTAATTGTTTTCAATAATGCTTCTAAGAAATACAAGATGAGTCTACTCCTTTTTTACAGGAGGAGGACTGTTTCCTTTTATTTCCACCCACAAACAAAAAGAGAGTGAAACGAGAGGTAATATGCTGGCATTACTTATTTATTATAATTCTCATTATAATAATAAAAGTAATCCTTATAATATTTGCCATGGTTGTTGTTGTAATTGATCGATGTGACACTGCAGTGCAGGAAATGTATTGACATGTATTAGAAGGTCCAGGGCAAGACTGAATCAGTTTTAGGATGTGTTTGGATGATGTAATGTTCACAAAGAAAGGCTGCCTCCCCTCATCAAAGCCTGTCAGTCACACACCAAATATATCAGTTGGTGTTCAATATTTTTAGAAAAAGGGTAAACGTTGGGTTATAGTTTCATTAAGAGCCAGTTTATGATGCTGATAATGAACTAGTAACAGAACTAGGCCAACAATTATAACCAACCTCCTTCATTACATAGCCTTATTAGAATTGACCATTAAAGAGGACAAAGGTCAGACAATTACAGAAATGTTCCTCTGAACAGTGATTTGCTAGTTTTTTTTTTCACCTGTCAACGTCATTCAGTAACTTTAGTCCAAGTCCTCCGCAACCTGTATTTTAAGATGAATAATGCTCCCCAGTCTGATGGGAAAATTCAAAAAGAGCTAAAGGAAAGGGGTTTCCAACATAAGCACTTTTGCCAGAGACAGCATGCACCTGTCACGCAATATCTGGGTGACATTGATTTTGATCTTGATGCCAGATGGTTGGGGTATTAAATTAGTAACTCATTTCGTTTGGCTTAACATAACTATAACCAATTATAGCGTGATCAATTTTGACGGTTCAGCCCAAAAATCTAAAGGTTTTCCTCTTAACTCTGGTACTATTTATCAATGTTGTTTTGGTGTGAGTTGTTACATTGAGTGTTGGACATATCTACCGTTGAGACGCCTGCCTTCTCTTTTACACCAATCTAATGGAACTTGATTTTCAAATGTATTTTTATGGTGGTTGAGCACCACGCCATGTGCCATCTATTTCTATCAGCAGACATCTCTACTACTAGTAAAATTAAAAAACTAACAATTGAAAGTTCTTTCAAATATAAATGAAAATACAAAAAACGACTTTGTTAAAAAACAAGACAAAATATAATTTGTTTCATCCACAACTGCTAATCAACTACATTAATAATGCCCTGTTTCAACCAAAAAAAAGAGACTTAACCTTAATTTACTCAGATTTGTGCATATAGATCCTGTGACCCACACACAGATCACTTCATTTAGCATTTCTGTAATACATTATATTCTTGACTTGGCCATGGGTTAAATCATCATGATGACATTTTACATGTAGCTGTAGCTAACGTCAACGTGACTGGCAGGCTTTGGCTTTCAGACCGAGTCGTGGCTGTGACTCCAGTGCAGTAGTTCAGTGCCTATACTAAATGTGAGGTAGTGCCTCGACTGTAAATCCTGTTCTACAATAAACTATTTTGACATGCTGTCTGATTCCATATGTACTGCGTACTCTTTTTTTATTCCAGCATCTTCTCGTGGTAAGAAGTGGAGAATAAAAGACCAGAGATAATGAGAGGAAAGAGCATGCTAGCGTCTATATTCATGCATGTCTCTAAAGAGGTGTCCGGCAGTGGCTCAGTCAGTAGGGGCTTGGACTGTGAGCCGTAGGGTCGCTGGTTCAAGTCCCCGACCAGACCTAAATATGGAGTGTGGACTTCTACTTGGAGAGGTCCCAGTTCACCTCCTGCCCTGCCGTGGTGCCCTTGAGCAAGGCACCGGACACCCCCCTTCCCCCCCCACTCCCATTGCTCCCCGGGCGCTGTACAATAGCTGCCCACTGCTCCTAGTACTAGACTCCTTGTACTAGGATGGGTTAAAAGCAGAGGCCAAATTTCACTGTGTGTGCTGTGTGCTCTGCATGTGTGACCATTAAAGAGGGTTTCATCCCTCCCTATTTAATTTTTAAGATCTGTGACTGTCATCGTCAAAATGTCACCTGATCAATAATAGATGAAGCTGACATCAAAACCCACTTCAAACGCAGCGCATGGATGGAGTGCTCCTATAGAGAGGGAAAAATTAGAAGGAGCACTTCTCTTGCACCGTGGTCCATCCATCCATCCATCCATCTTCTCCCGCTTATCCGTGGTCGGGTCGCGGAGGTAGCAGTTCCAGCAGAGAGCCCCAAACTTTCCTTTCCCTGGCCACATCAACCAGCTCTGACTGGGGGATTCCAAGGCGCTCCCAGGCCAGCGAAGAGATATAATCCATCCACCTGGTCCTAGGTCTACCCCTCGGTCTCTTCCCAGCTGGACGTGCCTTCCCTACTAGGTGCCCGAACCACCTCAACTGGCTCCTTTCGACGCGAAGGAGGAGCGGTTCAACTCTGAGTCCCTCCCGGATGACTGAACTTCTCACCTTATCCCTAAGGGAGACGCCAGCGAACCTGCGGAGAAAACCCATCTCGGCTGCTTGTATCCGCAATCTTGTTCTGATTGACATGACCCATCCTTCATGATCATAGGTGAGGGTAGGAATGAAAATGGCCCGGTAGACAGAGAGCTTTGCCTTCTGGCTCAGCTCTCTTTTCGTCCCAACGGTGCCGTAAAGCGACTGCAGTACCGCTCTCGCTGCTCTGATTCTCCGGCCCATCTCACGATCCATTGTTCCCTCACTCGAGAACAAGACCCCAAGATACTTGAACTCCTTCACTTGGGGTAAGGACTCATTCCCTACTTGGAGTGGACAGTCCATACGTTTCCTGCTGAGAACCATGGCCTCAGATTTGGAGGTGCTGATCCTCATCCCAGCCGCTTCACACTCGGTTGCGAACCGATCCAGTGAGTGCTGAAGGTCGCAGACCGATGAAGCCATTAGAACCAAATCATCTGCAAAAAGCAGTTGTGCAATCCTTAGTCCACCGAACTGCAGACCCCCTTCCACACGACTACGCCTCGAAATCCTATCCATGAATATTACAAACAGGATTGGTGACAAAGCACAGCCCTGGCGGGAAATGGGTCCGACTTACTGCCGAGGACCCGGACACAGCTCTCGCTTTGGGAGTACAGAGATTGGATGGCCCTGAGTAGAGACCCCCTCACCCCATACTCCTGCAACACCTCCCACAGTAACTCCCTGGGAACCCGGTCATACGCCTTCTCCAAGTCTACAAAACACATGTAGACCGGATAAGCGTACTCCCAGGCCCCGTCCAGGATCCATGCGAGAGTAAAAAGCTGATCCGTCGTTCCATGACCAGGACGGAATCTGCATTGTTCCTCCTCAATCTGAGGTTCGACAATCGGCCTGACCCTCCTTTCAAGTACCTTAGAGTAAACTTTCCCGGGGAGGCTGAGTAGTGTGATGCCTTTATAATTGGCACACACCCTCTGATCCACCACCCCCCAGTCTGCCACTCCTTCGATACTGTTTCCGACTTCCACGCAACGTTGATGAGACGTGTCAACCATGACAGTCCCTCAACACCCAGAGCCTTCAGCATTTCTGGGCGGATCTCATCCACCCCTGGGGCTTTGCCACTGTGGAGTTGTTTGACTACCTCAGTGACCTCCCCCCGGGAGATTGGAGTTGATCCCCCGTCATACTCCAGCTCTGCCTCTACCATAGAGGGCGGAGTTAGGGCAAATCTGGTTAAATAAAGGTTTGAAATGAAATTAATTGGAAGAATAGGAGGATGCTAAGAGGCCTTAATACACTACATGCACTCGGACCTGTGACGTACTTCCGGCTCCGTGTTAATGCGGCTTGTCTGCTTCCGGTCCCTGCCGTTCGCGGTAGAGCGTCTATCGTTTCAAAATGAGTGTACGCAGGAAAATATTCAAAAGGGAGAATTTGCAAAGGCAAAGTAGGAAATACTCCGAACATTGCTGTGTCCCACTGTCTTCAGTGTCGGCTAAATGTAATGGTGTTTTGAGTTTTCATGGCTTTCCAACCCAACTCGACCTAAGAAGACAGTGGCTTGTAAATATACGCCGGGAGAACTTCATCATCACGTCTCACTCCAAGGTCTGTAGCAGACACTTCGCCCCCGATCAGCTAATAAATCCAACGACACTTGATGGTCGAAGGAGGCTCGTTAAAGGTGCCGTACTTATGCTGTTTGAGTGGAACAGCTTTACTTTAAAAATACCACGGCCTGGTGTGTGGGAAAGAAGAGAGCATTAAACCGGTCCCTCCTGAGGAGCCAACACAGTCTCACTCCCTGATAGTCCAATAGCGACGCTTGGTCAGGGTCCTTTGGCGTGCAGTTGTGACGCACAGAGTCTCCTTCAGCTTCATAAACGGACGCAAAGAGCTTTCAACTGATTGCAATGTATTCCCATCGGCGGCGGTATTTGACGCTCAGGGAAGCACCGAATCGGTCCATGTCGGCGGAAGTTAAGGGCAATGTGAGCGTTCATTCCCATTGGATAACGGAGAATTTTACACCCAGAAGTAAGTATTCTCCTTACTGTCGATTGATTTTACAGTGATATCTGCAATACTCATCAACTCAAAAACACCAGATTATCCTTGTTAATTACACAACATTGATTGGTTTAAATGTATTTTTCCCCTTCGATTCGGAGAATCAAATATTTTTTCGGAGTTTAGGATGGCCGAAGACACTACACTACCCATAATCCTCAGCTATCGTGAAACAGCATTTTGAAATGGAATGAAACCCATAGATGGCACACTATCCAAAACTGGACTTGAACGTGTCCACCCCCCCCCCCCCCCCCCCGAACTACACATGCTGGCTATATGTGTGTTTCGCAACAGGTTTTATGGCGCGTCTCTACTGGGAATTGTAGTTTTAAAAGACGTTTTCGTATTTCCCATAATTAGAAGTTGCCAGTATTAAACTGTATACATCCCTGGAGGTTTAGGGGATGGGAAACACATTGGTGTCTGTATAGAAGTGATTGGAATATATATTCGATAAATAATTTGTAAATTGCAGCCAGATTAATGTTGTGGATGTTGTTTCAAAAGTTCAGGTGTTCAATAGTCTTCTGGCCTGTGGAATGAAACTGTCCCTGAGTCTGGTGGTTTTCGTCCTGATGCTGCGGTACCGCCTGCGAGACGGCAGCAGACAGAACAGTTTGTGGCTGGGGTGATGGGGGTCTTTTGTAATACTGAGGGCTTTCTTTAAGGTTAACCTGGTATTTTTACTCCACTACATTTATTTGAGTTACTTTACAGATTTGGATTAATGATGTGAAATATAAACAACCCTTAAATCAGACTTTAAAATTCAGTTAAAGGTGGGGTAGGTAAGTTTGAGAAACCGGCTCGAGATACACTTTTTGTTATATTCCATGGAATGCTCTTAACATCCCGATAGCAATGAATATCTTAAGTGCTTTGACAAAAAATCCATAAAAAAAGGCCGTAGTACTGTAAAAAGCACGACCAATCATTATAGCCGGCCCGGCTAAAATAACTGGATGGCCTACCTGCCTGTCAGCCTTCCATCTGTGCACAAACTTATCTCGTGCCCTCATTGGCCATGTACGCGTTCGTGTGTGTTGGAGGAGGGGCTCTGTAAGGAAGTGGCAGATTTTTTCCGGCTGTGTATTTTCAAATTCTAGCGCACTCGAGCTTGTTTCTCCAAAATTACCTACCCCACCTTTAAGATGATTGTCAAGTGCAAACAAACAGGCGAGATATTTGATAGTGGGTGCTTGAAAAGACAAAAAATGTATCTGCAGATCCCTATAAAGCATATTCATTACTCATTATTCTCTACTCGTTCATTAAAAACGGTATATAATGGCTATTTTGCACATCCCCAGGGGAGTCAGTCAGAGTTGGGGGTGCGGGGGGGGTGTGCTAGTGGAGCCTCGCAGCGGCGAAACTGTTGCGCGCTTACACTGTAGGTGCGCCGCGTTTGTGCTTCAGATTAGGCTCCCTCCGCAAAATGAGGCCCCATCCGCGAGGTGAGGCCCCACGCAGTCTGCGTGATCTGCGTGTAGGGAGGGGCAGCCCTGTATAATAACGTCATATTAAATGCAGTCATTTGGTCTTTAGCAACAGCTTGTGAGAGCAGAGCATTCATCGGTGTTCGTTTTAATGCTGCCAGTTTGTTGACGGCCTGTCTGTTGATTGGACTTCTCATGCTCCCTAAATGTTTGCCCTGCCTTTCGCCAGTTGTTAAACCCTGCTTTCACAAAACTCCCATCCCTGATCTTGTCTGCACTGACGAGCTTCTTTTCTATAGCAGAGCAACAGAAGAAGCACACCGCATTATCACTTTCTCTTATATAGTGAAGCTTTTTATAGACTCCTTACACTAAAATGCTAACTCAAAAATAGTAACTCAAAATAAAACTTTTGTATTGATTTGTTTAGTGAACTTTTTGGCGTTGCAGTTACAACTCTCCGCCAACAGATGGGGATACTGCAGCCCCCTCAGCACCCCCCCTTCCCGCGTCCATGCACATCCCTTTCAAGATTTTCAAAGGTTTATTGACATATCTATACACAACT